GTCAATGAACCAGAAACATCAGGTGAAATTGTAAGTGAACCAGAAACAACAGGTGAAACTGTCAGTGAACCAGAAACAGCAGGTGAATCTGTTGGTGAACCAGAAACAACAGGTGAAACTGTCAGTGAACCAGAAACAACAGGTGAAACTGTCAGTGAACCAGAAACAACAGGTGAAACTGTCAGTGAACCAGAAACGACAGGCGGAGCAGCTAGTGAGCCAGAGACAGCAGAATCAGAAACGTCATCAGACCCTGAAGTCAATCCAATGGCTGAGCCTGAGGCCTCAAGCGCTGAACCGGAAGTGAACCCGACGACCGGTGCAGAAGAAACGCCCACCAGCCAAGAGATTCTAGTTCCCCCTTTGCTTCTCGTGGCCGTCATCTTGTTCTGTAAGTATCTTACCCAGGTACATATATATATATAAGTTGATTTGTCGATTAGTTAGTTTATTCGTTAGTTATTTCAGTGGTCAGTAAGCTATTTGATTAATCTCTTTAGTTAATTAAATAGTCAGTCATTTAGCTAGTTCGGTTTTTTTTTAGTAAAGTTCGTTAGGTAGTGAGTTAGAGAATGAGTGAGTGAATGAGAGAGTGAGTGGTTGAGTAAGTGAAAAATACACATCTCCATGAGGTTGCAAGAAGGCATACCCACGTGCTATAGATTGCAAGGAGCTGAAGTTGACTTTGTAATGTGTAGGCCATTAGCGACATAAAGAGGCAATACCCGCAGGCAGTGGCTTGGGGTGGTGCTGGAAAGGGGTGGTGCCAAGTCTTCAGTCTGCAAGGGTCAAGTACACTCCCAATCAAGGTACTATTAGATGGGTTTTGATTTTGTATTTCCTTTTGCGTTTGTACACGGGTGAGCCAATACAAACGAAATGGCAGAACCAAAACAAGCGCGCATATCTGCCAGTGAACCAGAAACAACAGGTGAAATTGTCAGAGAACCAGAAACATCGGGTGGAACTGTCAGTGAACCAGAAACAACAGGTGAAAGTGCCATCAATCCATGTCCACTTCCAACGTTACATTCCAAAATTGAAATACTCGTCTTATGTTTAGAATACTGAAAACTGCTAGTAAGAGGAAAATTTTCATCACTAAACACGCTGAATAATCCGGGAATGACAATAATTGTAAGGATGTGTTTAAACTCTGTGTGATTTTACAGCCTCACTTAACAAAAATATGATATTTTAAAGACAGATTTGCCTTTCTGTGAGTATAAAGAGCTTAAAAGAAAGAGTTTAAAAGGAAGGTCCATGCCACGTTTATCTTGAAAAAGAATCTAACTTTATAACTGCCGTCCATCCATTGTTGGTCGAGTGAGTCGCACGGATTTGTGGCTGAATGCATGTATCTTATCAACATGTTCAGTTTCGTTTGTTTTGAATATATCGCTAATTCAACTTCTAATTGTCTTATTATGAACATGTTTGGTGTCTTGTTCTCCCTCCCTCCCCCCTCCCCGCCCTTACTCTTTTCCCGCCTCCCCGTTTTTCTTAAGCGCTGTTGATGCTGGCAATACACTCACGAAAACGGAAGAATGACCTGTTTGGATTAAATAAAAGAAATTTGGTGGGTCCCAGAGTCGACAAGAAAGACCTTCATAAACTAAGCGCCAAGGAGCTGAGCTTCATCAAAGTGAAACCTACTGAAGAGTTCCTCAATGAGTTTGACTATGAGGTGAGTCGTCAAGATCATGATCCCTTTTGTTAGGAAGAAAAGCTCTATTCTTTAAAATAGTTCGCTTTCCTTTTATTGTTAAAAGAGTGAGGGTTTTTACTTTAATATTCTTAATGTAAGTGTTCTATGCCACTTGACATAATTTAGATAAATTCGGAGGTGGGCTTCTGTCTTGACTGTCAGGGCCAGGCGGGGCTGAGAGTGATACAACATCCCAGCAGAAAGACCTATACACTCTACAAATATTTCTCCGGACTTGGAAATCGAAACGCCTAACCACTATAACAACGCATAAGCCGGTATTTCTTACCTTACGACATAAATTACCAATCACAAGCAAAAGAATCGTTAGTACACAGTAAAACGTATTGATGGAAATTTAAACGCTACCCTTTGAAAGAACAGGGATGGAAATGATGAAACGAAACAGAACGGGGGTTTATTGGTAGATGGAGGAGGGTGGTGGTTAGTCTTTTGTGGGTGTCCCAACATCATTTGAGCGAAAGTCAAGGAAAATACCCTTCTGAGGACGTCGGGCATAAAGTGAACAACACTTTAAATCAGACTTCTTCTGATCAGGTTAATTATTCAGGTTATATTATATTCTTCCAGGGGTCAGTAAAACACCTAACATTAAACTTTGCTGACCTATCGACACCCTCGACTAAGAAATCGTTTTAAGCAACTACGCTTAGCTTTATCGACCTTACACTTAGTACATGCTCATCAATCTGATGTCTGAAACGTATTTCTGCTTGCAAATCCTTTTATGCTGGAGACACATGACCTTTGCGCACTCTGTGAGAGAGACTTCCCATGACAAACCAGCCAGACACAATGTATCAGCCAACTGTTCCTCCCTCTTCGAGAGAAAATTGAACAGAATGGATAAGTGCATTGTAACGCTACTGTGCGTATTATGTTGTGGTATTTAATGCTTCCGCTTTTACAATGGAGTATGTTTTTATCTTCTTTTTTTTGGCTAAGAAAACACAATATGTCACAAATAAATCTGTCACATACGGTAAGCACCGCTGGGGATTTCTCGTTATTGTCAAGAAACGAAAATCAAATGGCCGTGAGAAGAAAAAAAAAAGATTAAAGGATCGCAAATAGCCTTGTTGGCAATTCCTCTCGAAAATTAACTTTGATATAGATGATAGAACTCTTACTGCTGACGTCAAAAGCGATTGCAACATTTTTATTTTCCCTTCTCTATGCTAAGATAATGAGTCGGATCGAGGTTTATCCTAGCCTTCACAATGGGGATCTGGCAGTGCATCACTTTTAGGTTATAGGGTGAGGCTTAAGGTTAAGACTGTTGTATCGTGTTTTATTTATAGGACATTTACTGTTTTGTGCAGGCCGTTACACCATTATCGACTGACCATGAAACACTCGAGGGAGGAGGGTTGGGGATGTTTTTGCTTTTGGGGCTATTATTCCGTATTGTTATCAACTTAATTTTGATCGGAAAAGAGCAGTATCACAAGTGGAAAATGTGATATACAACAAATTAATGTTCTGTTCCCAAGGCAAACCTAAACATTAAATTAATTCTTTTCCTTTCATACATGAACGGCTTCTAATGGAAAGGTTTAAACGTACGTCAAGAGTTTCCATTCAAAAATTGGTAGACTTCCGTTCCCTTGAGTGAGACTCCGTGTTAGAGAATGTTCCCATTTTCTGTTGGTCTGAGTATATCTCACAACGTAGTTTGGAATAGAATTCCCTATTTGCATTCCCATTTGCTTTTGGTTTCTCTAAAGCTACCCAATAACACATCATGTTATGTTACATGTACTTTATTGTGTGAGTAATTATTAATTTTTTGTGATATGCATAAATGTACTTGGGCACTGAGCATATAATTTATATGTTATGATATTGATTCTCCTGAGCTTGTTATCAAATCGTACTTTTGTATAAAACGGCTGCACCAGGGGACTGCGACTTTGACGTCATCGTCTGGTGTAATCGGTTATAGTGCCAAATTAAAGATACGTACGATCTTTGACCGGATACAGCTAGATAGGTGCCAAATCATAACAAAAATATTGGGTATCGATGCTATAACCAATACCATCAAGGCATAGACTAGATATTCGGTTAACACAGTCGCTATTCCCCTGTCCTCAGGATAAAACAGACGAACGACGAGTCTTTTACGGCCTGTTGGTCTTAGACATGAAAATGTATTTTGAGGACCAGATATTCCGTTGTGTTTCTTTCGGGTATGTTTCTGTCTGCACTGAAAGTAATTAAATGTTACAGTTATTTCAAGAAGACGACGACATATAACAGAGAGGACCTTTTTATTTAGTGGTCGCGGGGGAAGGGGGGGGGTGCATGTAGGTAAGATAGGTGAGAAGAGAAAAAAGAAGAAGGGGTTGGGGGGGGGGGGG